GCGCGCACTCGCGCACGATTACTTTGACAGAGTTGGCAGCATGCTGCATTCCTTGCCAATCCCTGCATTGAACATCGTTCAAACACAAAAAGCGCTGAAGTAGGAGGCTCCGGGTAGTTGATTTTAATGTAGTGTCGTGCAAGAATCCTTCTGTGATACCAGAAAGAGGCTGACGAAGTCAAGATCATGGCGACCGTGCTTGATGGAAGCAATGCTACCTGCGAAGGTGAGGGAATCCTTGTCAAATGCATCTAGATCGCTGTAATCCTGAGCTTTTATCGATTATAAGTCTTTACTGGCTTTACTCATCTGCTCTGAGAGTTTTCACCTGCTGGCTGCTGTGGTGGTGATTCAATCAAAGCATACCTCCGAAAGCTCCTGGAATGGAGTTAGCTTGATTGATGCTCTGCCCCCATTGGATTTTACTGGCCCGTGCAATGGGAGATCTGATTGTTACTGTTTGTCAATGTTGCGAACCAACACTTCCAACACTAGTCCGTGCGCAGATCTGTCAAGGAGAGCCCAAAACAAGTTGCAGCGCATCTCGGAGAAAAGCCACAGAAATGCATTGATTAAGCGAACAAACGATGTGCACTTGATCAATGCGTGTCTGGGCTTTTCTCCCATATGCTGCACGGCTTTTGTTTTATCAAAGGCAAGACCAAGTGCTTCTAGGTTCAACGCCCAGTTTCCTTCCAATACTGTGAATCATACCTTTAACCACCACAAGAAGATATTCAGTCGCTCCAACAATGCATGATGTGAAGACCCTCCAGTCAATGAGTAGTCAATACTTTTGGTGACGGTATCAACTACCGGACTTCAATTTTTTTTTTACCCCCTCATATCTCCTGACACTGTAAATTCTTTCCACAGCGGCCAATGGTCTGAGTAAGGAGAAGTTGGCGAGCAGCAAAGACCTATTCCTAAAAGTGTATGAGCAACTAGTGAGGGAGCTGTTGGAGGACAGCAAGGTCTACACATTCACCGAAGAAGCGAGGGCCTGGACAAAGAAGGTATGATCCGCCCGCGCCAAGGGTAGCATGCCCTGAACGATTAAATGATGGCATCAACTTCGCAGAGAATGTAGCTGATTGAGCGAAGGCTCGTTCCGCTGGCATCCGTCGTTGGAATATCCGCAAGCGGACATGCCTCGATGCCACTTGCACCTCCGTGCAACTCTCTGAACGGACCTCGCTGACTGTGGTCAGAGGGGTCTGGAAAGAATTGCTTTTCCAACTGATTGGTTCCAACTCAGGCAGACCGTCGAAGCTCGTGTTTCGTCAAAGCTGTTCAGTGAGGGTCCACCTTTGCCGGGGCTCACGGAGAACGTCTTCTTTAACCAAGCCAGATGCGGCAGCCATGGCAAAGACAGAGCAGTGAAAGAAATGATTGCTTGCTATTGATCTTTTTAAAACCTTCATCTTTTCGAAGCTGCCTCAACATGTTCTAAAACGAGGACGTCATTTGCGTCCTGATCCTTGCAGATGACCGACTACACGGTGCCGGGGGGGAAGTTGAATAGGGGGCTGTCAGTAATTGACAGCCTGCGGTTACTGAAGGAAGGGAACCTTACGGACGAGGAGGAGTTTCGGGCGTGCGCCCTGGGGTGGTGTATAGAGTGGGTGAGCTTGCAGATCACTTGAGTCCTGAGACCGAGCTCAGCAAATCTCTGCGAAGTTGGTTCCTTGTCATAGAAAGCCTTGAAAAGCTGCGCTGCATCCATTGTCAAGCAATCAGAATTCTCTTGCAAAGAACACAAAAAGCAGATAGTTAAACGCGAGTTCTGTGCAGTAGAGCAGAATCAATGGAGGAGTGAAGGGAATCGGGGATTCAAGATGCCTATTTATGCCCTGCAGTTGCAAGGCTACTTCCTGGTTGAGGATGACATCATGGACAAGTCTGTCACGAGGAGGGGCCAACCGTGCTGGTACCGGGTGCCCCAGGCAAGTAGGCCGGACCAGTCCCAACCTTCCATGATATCTCCAAATCTTAATTGTAGTGGCCCGACACTCAGTAAATCATTTTGGGATTTGGCGCAATTGATCAACGTGTTGGTGCAAATCTTCATGACACTCTGGCCCAGACAAGCACCAGACGGTCCAAACACGGAACCGGCGGTCCAAGCGTTGGCACTGCGTCAAAAGTCGAAGAGGTTTATCAGCGCTTGACACGGGCTGTTTACTCTTCGGGTCAGTTCTGAAACATGATTTTTTGCGCGTTTGGCAGGAGCAGACTCTAGATTCGACTTGGGCAGGATCCGTTTGACATGGGCAAATACTGACGACTGCTTTGCTGATCAATTACGATCTGGGCTAAGCCCTTCGAATTTCGCCCCAAGTCGTCCACGCTCTGCGGTAAACTGTCAGAATCAGTTGGCCGATGTAGTCAGTGAGAAACCTGCAGGGGACTGGGAAGCCCATTTCACCCGCAACTCAAAGTCAAGCTCGTTCATCTCTTTGTGAGAGCTAAGCACCGAAAGAACGCGGGCTGAAGCTTGTTGCGTGAGCTTTTTGGGTTCACCAGGTGAATTACTGACGGCATGATCTTCGATAGAGCCCGGACAAGACGAGGCTTAAGCCCTGTGGCCTCTGGTTTTGACACGTGGCACCTGCTTGTTCTCCAGGTGGGCTTGATTGCAATCAACGACGGCATACTGCTGGACAGCCACATATACCGCATTCTGAAGCGGCACTTCAAGGCGTTGCCAATCTACATCGACCTCGTGGACCTCTTTCATGACGTGAGCCTTGCTCCGCCCCCGAAATCGGGCTAAGGCCTAATTTATCACCTCGCTTTCGGCCTTTCGGATCTTTGATGCAAGGGTGGGTTTCAGGTTTGTTGCTGTGATTTGGCACATTCGTTGGACCGAGGCCTCAAAGGACCTCTTCCTCTTCCGATCGTCTTGACCCTTGACCATGGTTCACATACGCTTCTTCCGGAAGTTCCTTCGCCAAGTATCTGTGAGATTCTCTCGAATAGGTCTCTCCGAAGAAGATGCTCTTTGAACGTGTGGGTCGGTAGGACATGCCGTGACAAGATCATCGGCTGTTTGCTTAATGGCTAACCTTAAAGTGCATAAGATTACACTTATGGTCCTCGCCGGCAGATGGATCCATCGTGGCCCGGGCCAATGAATACACTTACTCTGACCAAATGACCACGTCCCTTCTGTTAACCCGCTGCTTTTTGCGTAGGTCGAAAGAAGTTGGCTCAGTGGAGCATCTTCTCTTTTGGGATCCTTCTCAAGATGACGTCGTCTACCGTGAGTCGCCTTCGATTCTAATTTCTTCGCAGGGTGATGGAAATTGTCTGCTAATTTCGCAGGTTACGTACCAGACGGCGTGCGGGCAGCAGCTCGACCTGATTACGACACCGGAGGGCACCGTGGATCTCTCCAAGTACACAATGTCAACGTGAGGCGTGCGGTACTTACGCACCTATAGTGCATCAGGGACAGAGTCGGAGTTGCACGGTCGTTGATTCCGTTGGATCGTTGAGTCCTCTTGTTCTGTGGTTCGTTCCTTGGAATTTCGGTGGAGTTGGTCTCGTCGGATAAACTTAGAGAGGGGTTGAAGATAGAATTGCACTAGGAAACACTATCAGAAGTTTCACATAGAACATACGTCGTTCAGGCTGGCAGCGCTCTGTCCGCAACTTGCCCCTGACTTGACAAATTTTCCCTGCAGGTATTTGAAGATTGTACAGTACAAAACCGCCTACTACTCCTTTTACTTGCCAGTGAGTGCAAATAATCCCCTCAAAAAGCCGTTTTGCACACTTGCCAGTCAAATAGTCGCCCCCCCTGCTTCTGTTTCTAAGAAAGAGTAGTACGCTGTCTGCCTCATAGTCTCTGTTGCGATTCGAATGTCCTGCAAACTCGTCCAAGTCGGGAGGTTACAAGTCACATGATTCTTCGCCAGCCCGTATCCGAGCATGCGGCAGCCCATGAATAGCTTGCGTGCACTGTTGATCCCCCTGAAGCTGCACAGATTGTATTCCGTTGACTCCCTTCAGCACTTGAGTCCCAACCTCTCCTTGAAGGAACTCATAACGCGAAGCGGATTTGAGCTTGTTGAAGGACTTGATGGAGCGAAGCAGATTTGAACCTGTTGAAAGCCGAGTAGGACAACATGCCCTCGAAGCAGATCCTCTGAAAACCGCACCATTTGTCTCTCCCATTGGTTCTGATTCGTGGCAGCTTCCAGTAGATTTATATCCAAGTGTTTCCTACGAAGTTCCCAGCCACGTCTATCTTTCTTTCCGAGCCCTCAAAAAGATATCACTTTTTTTCCTGCTTTCCTGCTTTCCAATGGGCCCAGTTTTTCAGCACTTCTTCCGTCGTCTGACGTCAGGTTGCGTGCGCGTTGTACCTCGCGGGCGAAGCGTCCCCGGAGAACCTGCAGATTGCGGAGGAGATTCTCATCGCGATGGGAACCTACTTTCAAGTCCAGGTGCGCTAACTCCGTTTTTAACCCGGTCGCCTTGCTTGAGATTGTCCACTTCTGAATTGGCTGCACCAAGTGCCAAAATTGATCTGTTACCACCCAGGTTTGAATCATATAGTTGCTTGTTCATCTTAGGACGACCTTGAGCTTTGGTTGCTATCTTGAGAATCAAAAATGTTTTATCCTTGCGTCTTTCGAAATGATTGTTCGCGATTGCCACATTGAAGTGGTTACTACACGTGATGGGGCCAGGTTGTGCTCGGTGATTAATATGAAGTACGGCGGAAGTTGGGCGCCTATGACCTATTTTTCTATGAAGTATGATTTTGGAGCAAACAGCTCATGCATCGTTCTTGCCACTCTTTGAGTGACTCTACGACTCCGGTTGATTGGTCCAGGCACTTAGAGATTCACGGCCAACCAGCCTTGATATCGAGAGGAACTTGCGGGTTGGCTCATTCCGAATCAGATTGCAGACACCCATTTGTTTTCTCTACAGGACGATTATTTGGATTGCTATGGGGCGCCAGAGGTTATCGGAAAGGTGTGCATCCTGCCACGTGTCTCTGTATGAGTTTTGTCTGCTTCTCTCTGTTCGATGACGCCGGGGGGGACTTTTGAACGAACTTCACCAGAAGGAGCATCAAAAAGAGTGCAAGGGTGTTGAAGGTGATAACGTCGATAAAGTGGTAGCTCCCAGCTTCTATCCTCTTTCCGGGGCCAAATAGACTCATTCTGAGGGTTTGGAAGATGTGTCAGCAAATCTCGGCTCTAATAATTCGAACCCGATAAGCGTGGTAGGAGGGTTGGGAAGTTCCTGCGAGAAGTCTCGAAGTGCAAGTGCAAAAGTCTCGTTCAACTCGCAGGTTAGAATATCTGGCTGTCAGTTTGCTTCGGCCGCCCGATGTTCCAATCTCGCCAGGTTATCTTTTGACCCGGATCGTGATCCATTTCACAACTGGATCCACCCAATTCCTAAACCGGGTCTGAACCCCTGTCTTTTGGCAGATCGGGACGGACATTGAGGACACCAAGTGCTCGTGGCTCGTCGTCCAAGCGCTTCAGCGGGCCAACGACGACCAGAAAAGGACAATAGAGGTGGGGAAAGTTGGGTTGACCGTTAACGACTTTTCAAACCAATGCGGAGAAGGAGGCTGGGAGTGGAATTGAGACGCCCGAGACCTTTGGAATGGAATGCGCAGAAGGTGTAGACGGGGGCCAGTAGCTTGCAGAACCGTCGAGAATTTTGAAGAAGCAGATTGGCCGTATCGGAAATCAGGGGCGGGCAGCTGCTTGAGTTGTAAGCATTGGAGTCTGCGGTCCAAGGGATCGACCTGGGAGCGTCCTTCCGATCATGTGTTGAAACGTGTTAAAGCTGGCAGAGAAGGAAAAGAAGGGGCCAGGGGGATCGTACGGAATGTGTGCAAATCCGTCTTGGCTGAAAAGGTGCTAGAGCTGGGTAAAGTCGTTCGAAATTGTCCGAATATCGAAACGAAAACCTTCCGAAGTAGAGGAGGATCTCGTTCGGAAACTTCCCTGCAACCAAACAAAACGTATGCACATCCAAAACGGCCGCGCAGCAGAAAGTTCCTCGTCTTAGGCGCAGTTTGCGACAGGAGCATGTATTTGCGTTTCCGTAATGTCTCGAGAAAACGGTTTCTGTTCCAAGCGCCCAAGTTTTTTGCGGTAAATAGTACGCACATAACCCGACTGTCGTCTCCGAGCCATTGCTATTTCTGCCAGTTGTTGGCAATCTTCATGAAAGCGCTAGGATTGCATTTTCATTGCTCCCGGCAAGAATAACCAGTGTCGGCTCCTGACGTGATCTGTCACTCTTACCAGGAGAAATACGGAAGGGCCGACCCTGCCTGCGTGGCGGAGATCAAGAAACTGTATGCCGAGTTGAAGCTGGAGGTGCGTTACAGCTTCTTTGACCCTACAAATGGATTCTGACAACTTTTGCCTGCACAGTTCAGATATCTGGAAGGTGCACTTTCGCTGAGAAGCACCAGAGTCAAACGTGCTTGAAGTCATGACCGCCCAAATCACTGCAGAGGCCTCTGCGAGAATGTCACTTGCGCACTGGCTGACTGCATACGTCCTTTCCTGATTGTTGGACTTGCTCGTTCTGGACGATGCCAGGCGCGCATGGCGTGTGTTGAATCGTGAGCATTGGATTCTGCTAGAGCTTTCTCAGCGCACTCCCTTTTTGACGATTCTCATCTTCCACCTCCGTTGGTTTTCTTTGGCTTTACAAGATTGTCTCCCCTGGGGGTCTGCTTAAAGAACCGATGACGGGGCTTGCTGACGGGGGCAGTTGCGAATGTGGCTGCCCCTTTCTCCCGTCGGTGCAACATCGAGTCTGGTCTCCGTTTGAGGCGCGGTCAGGCGACGCTCTTGGCCGCCTTAGAGTCGAGACCACACGCTTAATCAGTATTGAGCTTCTAAACTTTTGGCTCGCCTCGTCGCTCACCCTCTATCTTGTCCGCTTCGCTTTCCGCTCGCTTTTTCCGCTGCCCCTCTCCGCTCCTTCTTTGCTGCTTCCGACTTCGCTCCGCCTTACCTTTCCTTTCCAAGCGTTCATTATACCGCTTTCAGCTTTTGCGCTCCACTGTTTGGCTACCCTTTTCCCTCACGTTGGCTGCCTCCCCTCCGCAGGCCGCGTTCCAGGAGTACGAGCAGCAAAGCTACGACGAGTTGACGGCCGCCATCCGAAAGGTGGACAGCAAAAGGCTACAAGTGAGACGCCTTTTTTTAACTTTCTCCGCACTCCTCTTGCGGTGGGTTGTATATTGTCGCGCTGGCAACGCTGCTGTTTGTTTGCGCAGCGTTGCTTTCGTGGTTATGTAAACATTGACGAGAAGGGTCTGGATTACAATTCGGATTGTGCAATCTGCTTGCAGGTGTATGTGAACAGCTCAATTTTGTATCTCTGCCAAATCTAGACCATGAGAACGGTCTCACTTTGACATCGATTCTCATATGCAGGCTGTCTTTCTCACGTTTCTCGGAAAAGTCTACAAGAGGCAAAAGTAAGGTATGCAGTTCACTTACGTGTTGACTTTTCGCTCCTTTATCAAGTGCCGGAGTCGGAGTGCATACTAAGAAGGAGGTCCCTTGAGCGTAAGTCCGAGTAGTCGAAAGCATTATGATTGAGTCGTGTTCAAGAATTTTCATTTGCTCGTCCTTTTGGTGCGGACACCATCATCATGCACGATGATGCTATTTGAATGTCAAGCACCAGCATAAAAGCAGTACTTGGCGTTCTCGGGACTCCGGCCAACAACGGTTCAAACTCTCTCTGTAGAACCTATCAGATGGGGCGGACATTGATGCCGCATCCATTTACCAAGACATGCCATGCACTGAATGCGGGCCATGTGCACCTGTCAAACTGTTGTACCGCAGGATCCCGATTGTTTGATGGATACTTATCATAGCTGCATACACATGATTGACCCAGTGGACGATGGCATCATAGCTTAAGTATCAAACGAGCATGTGCATGATAGACGGTCCATATGGGCCCATGCAAGGTCGACGAGAAGTTGCGGCTTCTCCAATTGATGCAGTCAATATAGCTATCATGCACAAGAGTTTGACTCAGTGGCACCATTAGCTTTCTAAGTCGACTTTGAAAACTATCTGAACATATGGTTAGCCTAGAACAAATGATCTGCAGCTATTATTAGTGCACCGAGAATTGATGCGAGCGCGGCCTATGATACACTCATCGTCCCTGAATGTAGAGCGACAACCTAAATTTTAGAGCTCAACCTATGTATTGCTGTCAATTTTTGTCAGCGTATTGCCAGACACACGGCCCTCAGTGCTATGTTTGGAAACAACACAAAGTATATAGAATAAACAAATTCTGCCGCAACTAATTGGAAGCTATTGGAAAGATCTGCGTGCCTTCTATATCCCACTTTGCTAGGCCAATGTTAAAGCCTCATCGCTTGTCAGTTCAAAACCTGGAAGCGCAAGTGGTCAGTGCTCCTAGCAGCTGTTTTGTCGCACCGAACACATCGCCCTACGGGCATCATATGTTACATCACGCTCGCTGAGCCCTCTGTTCTCGCAGAACGGCCCAAATAGCAGCCCCCACAGCAATCATCGGAAGCCCCACATAAACGTAGTCCAAGGTGTCCATGGACCTCCAATCAGCAGCTTCTGTGGTTGTGTTTTTGTAGGGAAAGGGAGTGTTGGGTACTTCCACCCCGAGGAACTTGCACAGCGGTTCCCAACCGTCTCGTACGTCGAACACTAGCAAGCGCTCTGCTGAAATGGCCGCTTTCACCTGTGATAAAGAAAGGATAATTGGATCACTTCCCAACTGCGGGGGCACAGCAAGAATCTACTAAGAAGGAGCTTGAGTTCAGGCACGAATCACTCATGATGTACCAGGTAAGCTTGGTTCCGATTCAAGGGCGAATTGGCAAACCCCGGAAGTACTGGCCATCCGCTAGGTCCAAGAAGATAAGAACTGCCGAGGACTTGCATCCAGCTACACTAAGTTTCGTGGCTTTCTATTACGTGCTCAAACATTCTAGCGCTCATCAGGAATAAGCCCAACATCACTGTTCCTTGCAAAGTCCATGTGAATGTGCAGACTGCAGCTTTGTCAGGCCTGGGACTTGGCTCACCTCCTCTATGTGCCTCTCGTAGATCCTGCGCGCCGCTTCTTTATCTTCGAAGCAGCCCTCGAAGTCCCCTGTCTTCCCCCATAGCATCTCATGCATGCTTGCCCAGGCAGAGGCTTCTCTTCGCAGGAGCAACAACCATGGGAAACGCTTGTGCTTTCGCTTGATCGTCTCTCCAAACTTGTAGATGGTGCCCCTCGCACTCTTGTACCAGCCGTCGAAATCGCGCACTGAGAGGAGGATCTTGGCATTGGGGTACAGCTCAGATAGCTCCCGCCAGTAGCGGCACGTGGGCCAGTCAACCTGCGAGAGGACAGTCACGTAATTAGATTTACTGGTCACGACTCTAGCAAAAATAAGATGAGCGGCAATCTTTTAAGAAGAAAATTGAGGTCAACAATTGCATATATGGAACAGCCAACCTTCCAGACGCCCAAGAGATGCCAGCAATGCAGTAAGAAACTTGATGTGTCCAAGATGTCAACCTTAAGCATTCTGGGGCACAGGAAGGTGCCTCTCACCCCATGCAGGTCACCTAAGAAAGCAACTTTTCAACTTCGAAGTAATCATAGCTGTTGGGCAAGCCGATAAGTTTGGTGTCTCAGGCCCCTACAAAGCCACCTATGAAGTATCCCCGAGCCGCTTATTTACCCCCTGATTCTCAAGATGCAATTCCCGTTGATATAGCGCAAGAGTTTAAGAAGCGGCTAACCAGAAGAAAGGACTCGAAACAACAATTTTCTGAAGGGTAATCATAACAACAGCGTTTTTGGGAAGATAAAACATATTAAGGGGCAATTTCACTCGCTTCATGTACCTGTCTCGCATACCGGTAAACCTCTCATAAGACTTTGAGTTTTGAAAGACCTTCCAAAGTGCTCGCAGGCCAGACTTGCGGGCCAGAGTACTGGCCACGGAGATTCTAACTTTCTTTAATCTCAAAGTATGAAGACGCGCAGCTAAAATTCTGTCGTCCTTTCCAAATGCATGACCACCCCAGGATTTGGCTGCCTAAGCAGTTAATCTGCCTGTAACCATGGAAGATTCTCTTACACAAGATCGATAGCCCCTCAACGCTTCCTCTAGTTTGTGGGCGTCCGCCCTGCCTCGCTCTTGCCTCGTTCGCTCAATGTCTGGCCACATGAAGATCTGGCCCTTCTCCCAGACCTCAGTCATGTGATGACAAGGGCCAAACCCCAGCTGTGCCAATGCATCCTTTAGACTGGTGGTGCCAGTTCTCCCATAACCTGCCCCCACTACTTGCATATCTAAAGCGGCCACGGCAATCTAAGAGTTTATTCGGCAACGCAGAATGGATCTAGTACAGGATTGCGTGCGTAGAAGCCTTCTACAGTCCTTTAGTCACTCTACTTCCATTCAAACTTGCTGCATGCACTGCACCACTTTTTGCAATATGGATTGCGAAGGACGCCCCCACCACTCAGTCGCCCTTTCTCTGTCCACCACTTCACGCGAAATGTTTACAGCTTCTTCCGAGCAACCTGCCAATTTTAGTGACATTTTAGACAAACTTACCGTACTACCAAGGTATGA